CTTCCATAAACAACTGTGTGTAACATCCTTGGGAAAAGTTTGTTGTTTAATTTGTTTTGAAGGAAGTAATTGATTTTCTTGGCAGATCTGATAAAAATAACGAAGCTTTGATTGTCTAACCTAGAGGTCATGTCCTCCTCAGAATCATCAGTGCATTACTCAGATTTAAGTGAATTCAAGTTTTCCTGGGACTATATTTTGATAGATGACTACAATATGCTACCATAAAGCTCTACTACCATGAAATTACTCACATAGGCAGGTCATAAATCAGCAATGCATATATGAATGTTTATGTATACAGTTGTGTGTGCATATATACATACAAAGAGCACACAAAACAAGAAATTTTCCCTAGGAAGAATAAATCAAATAGCAAGACAGACATTATGAATACTTCTCTAGTGACTTCCTTTAGTTCTGTGTACTTCCACCCTAACCAGCTTCATCAATCCTCAACTTATGAAATTTTGCAAACTTTGATCAATAGTTTTCATTTTACCATATACCATATATAAAGATAGAATTTGAAAGCAAATTAATAATGCAAATAAGATTGCAAAGTTACTTTTAACAAATTATAAAATGAAATATAATTAATTTACATGTTTCATATATTATTTCAATATATTTATTAGAAGAAGTCTAAAAGGACTTTTAATCTGTAGCAGTTGTTAGCAATAGGTGGACTAGAAAATAATAGGAAATGAATTTATTCAAAATCTTTTCCACAATTTACTTTCTAAATTAAATAGTTCATATTATCATTTTCCTTCGTCCAAATTAATATAATTTGGGAACTGATAAATTAAATAGATAATGCAGGCCTAGTAAACATTGATTCAGTAAAGCTTGTGAAATAAACATCTTTAGTATCCACAATATCCTTGTCAAACTCCAAGACAAGTTCAAAGAAATAAACTTTTATCTACCTAGTGCTGGTCACATGATATTGTGAGCATTACATCCAGTTCTGAGCACTATATTTAAAGACATACACTCTCAAATCAAAGTCATTTAAAGGAGATCAAATGGAATGGTGAGAAATCTCGAAAGCAAATCAGGCTGTAGATGACATGGTGAAGCATTTGAGGATGTAGACTCTGCTGCAAGAAATAAGGGAGTTTAAAAGCAAGTTCCATCACTGACTAGCACTTGACCCTTGCAAGCACTTTAATTCTTGTGGCCATTACTTGGGTGCTCCTCTGTAAAGTGATGCTCTTCATAAATATTCATAAGTGTTCTGTGATAGTTAAAGAAATTGTGCATAACAAAATTAGGAAGGTATTTAATATTAGTTAATATTATTATTTTTCTATTATATTACCAACTGGCTTCTCCAAAAAGAAACTCATGGTAAAGTAATAAATAATTTTAAAGTATTTTTAGGGATGTTCTTATGAAAGAGATTTATTCATTTTTGGACCAGAGGCAGTCGATTTATCTTACATTGAAGAAGATTCTCACAGCATGAAATGCTTGAAAATTAAATAAGCTACCCTAAGAAGCAGTCAGTTCCCTGACATTACTCTTCTTTAAGCAGCAGGTAGAAACCTGTAGAGCAGGGATGTGTTAAGAGGAACTTCTACTCTGATTAAAATGTTACACTGACAATATTTCCTCCTAATATTCATGATTCTGTAACTTAATTATTTTTTTCAGTTTTGGCACCAGTGTTCTTCACAAAGCAACTGATTAATTCTGCTTGATTTGTCCAAGTAGAAGTTTAGGTTCTAGTTCAAACACAGCATAGAAGAGTGGGAGAAAACGCCAAACTGCCAATATGATAATTGGGAAATGGCTTGAAAGCCTTCCATTCTATATATTTACAGCAACAAGGAGTGGGTACTGACTGTGATGCTGATGCCAAGAAGATGGATTTAGGCTAAAATAATAGATGCTTTAGTTTGTTCTTTTGAATTGTTGCTAATTCTTTAACATACAGAACCACACTACAGACAGAGTGAGAGAAAAGCAGGATAGGAAAATCCCAGAAGTAAAGTTAATTACTTCATAAAGTTCTTAAAGATAAAAGAGGCAACAGTGGGGAAAGAAGAGCACTTTTAAGCAATTCCATAAAACGAAAGATTTTCCCGGTGAAGAAGATACAGAAGGAGTGGTTTAAAGGTGAAATAGATGAGAAAAAAACACTGCCTTGGTCAGTCACTAAAGTCAGCTCTAACAGCAAAGCACAGTGCTGAGCTAATGACAATTTGAGCTGCAATTTAAAAAAAAAGTTTAGAATCCAGGTCACGGGAAAGAATCAGCCACTGTCTTCTGTATAGCATAGACCACATATGGGTATTATATTTAATTTTGCGCATGATATTTTAAGACAAACACTGACCTAGATTTGGTCTAGAAGAGAAGATGCAAAACAGGAAATTGTTTGGAATCATGTCATAGACTGAATGGTTAAAAAAACTAAAGAAGACAAAGCTTTCAAAAGAGAATATAGGTCCCTTAAGATATTTGAAGGATTCTCATGTAAAAATACTGTTTCCATTACCTCAGAAGGCTGAAGGGAGTAGGCAACTAGTGCTTACCCACAATAGAAGGAACCATCTCTTGAAGCAGATATTCCTTACTGCTGAATATATCCAGGTAGACACTGGTGGATGGAAACTGAATTAGATGATGAAGATCTAAATTCATAATTTCTATTTTAAAATAGCAGCTTGTCTCATGTAAAAGAAATGGAGGATTAATTCTAGACTAGAGCCACTCACATGACATCCTAAGTATTAGTATTATATCCGGTTCTGAGCACTATGTTTAAGAGGCACATTCTCAAATCAGTTCTAGACAGTGGCTCCCCATTATTTTGTAGTGATTCCAAATCTATTTATTGAAACTTTCAGATATGTATACAGTGGGAGAAAGGAAATATGAATGATAAATCTGCAGATTTCAGAATAGTGAGAAGGAGGCAAAAGACCACAGGGAGTAGATGGGAAGAGGTCACTGAAATCAACCAAGAGTGCAGTAAAATAGCATATATGGAAGAGAAGAGACAGAAGTCAGATCAGGCTGTTAGTAATATCTCATTCAACAACTGTTTATTCAAGGACTTCATCATGTTCCGAGGTTCTCTTCTAAGGCTACAACGGCAAGCAAAAACACTAAGGATATTCTGACTTACCGTTTAAGTCTCTAGATCCAGAGAAAAGATGGACTTTTAAATCTTGAAAAGATTCATTTAAAGGAAATCTCAATCAACTAACTAAGAACCACCACTTAAAATTATTCTGTTTTAGTGGAACACATTGATTTTAAGACAGAAGTACTTATGAAAAGTATAATATCAAATGGAGAAATTTTAGAAGTTTGTATTAATTTGGATGGGATAGAAATCATATGATGGGCAGAAATGATAATAAAATATAAGATAATTATATGAAAGTAAGAGGGCCATTATTTTGAAAGTATCACAGACTTTAGAAATGGCATATTTTTTTCCAATGTAAAGGAAATATAAATTTTTACGTTAAAAAATCCATTACTATTTATTTTACCTTTTATTGAATAAATCAACTACAACTTTTTTTTTTTTGCCACAATAAATTTCCTATATTTTAGTTTGCCAAAATACTTTTAGGTTATTTTCACCTCTAAGTCTTTGCTATAAGTAATTTTCAAAATTTCTAAACTCCAAATTGTTTTGATTGATCTTAGAACTCTAAACAGGGTAATATAATTTTTTTCCCACTCAAATATTTTTTAAACTGTTATTGCTTGTTAGTATAGAATAAAATATGCATAGAATTAGCATGAAAACATTTTCATTGGTTTTTATTCACACATTTTTTAAATCTGCTTAAAGACAGTGGACCCTTACCTAACTGTTTTGTTCCTTTCTTTGTTCACATATTAGTACCATAGGTTACGTCAACTAAGTTCTGGAGATAAATTGCTACACTAGTGCTGGAAGGTAAGTCTCCTGCAGTGGCTTGTTAAGCCTTGTCAGCAATTTTATTTTATGTATAATTTTTATTCAATTACAACATGCAAACAAAAATGTGCACACATCATAAATGTACAATGTAAAAACTTTACAAAAATTGAACACACTAAGCTACCGCCACTAAGATTAAGAAACAAGCATTATCAACACTTCAAAACCCCCCTCTTTCCCACTCCCAGACACCAGTTCCTCATACATCACTACTATTTTGACTATTAACACAAAAGTTTAGCTTTGTCCATTCGTAAATGAAATTGAAAAAAGTGTTCTCTTGTGTCTGAACTTTTTCACTCAAAATTTTGTTTGTGAGATCTATGCATTGAACAGTACACTATTTTAGTTCATTCTCACTGTTGTATAATATTCTGTGATATGAATATACTGCTATTTATCCATTCTATTGTTAATGGATATTTGGTTTGTTTCTATAAGGGATATTAACAATAGAACATTCATATAGTTGTCTTTTGATGAACATATGGATGTAACCTGTTGGGTACATTCAAGGAAGTAAAATTTATGGGTCATAGCTGTATATGAATTTAGCTTTAGTAAATGTCAAAGCATTTCCCAAAGAAGTTGTACCAATATTCCTTTCTTACTAGCATTATGTATTTGCCCTTCACCCTTGCCAACACTGGGTATGCTCAGTCTACTTCATTTTAGCCATTCTGTTCAAGGTGCTGTGGTATCAAACTGTGGTCTTCATTTGCATTTCCCTGATGAATAATCAGTTTAATCACCTCCTTATTTGTTTACTAGCCATTGGGATGTTCTTTTTGGTGAGCATCCTATTCAAATATTTGCTCACTGTTCTATGGTCCTCTGTATTTATCCCACCCTGTGGCTTTCCTTTTCATTTTCTTATTGGTGTCTGTTGATTAATTAAGAAGTTCTTAATTTTTGTGTTGTTCAATTTAGCAATATTTCTCTATGGATTCTGTTTTTCAAATTCTCATTCTGTCTTCCATGAGATAAGCGTGCCAATTTTTTTAAATTATTGTTCTCATATTGTAATGTTGGGGTTCAGGAACTCCGGGGGAGCCCTCAGTTCTCCTGACAGGACGTTTCTCCAGGTTCTAGGTCTATCACTCCCCAAAGATAGAAGAGGAGACCACGGCACAGTGTGCAGTAAATGCGGGACTCAAAAGTGTTTGTAGAAAGTGATTTATTTAGGTAGAGAGAAAGAAACAGCAATCTCTCACACCGAGTGAGAGAAAAAGCTGCTCTCACACTGAGTGAGAAGGGTTCCCAGAAGGGGGAAAACCAGAGAAGGCAAGCTCCTCTCACATGGAGTGAGAGAATCCAGAAAGATGGAATCCAGGAGAGGAAAGCAGCTTCCACACTGAATGGAAGGAAATTGAGAGAGAGAGAGTTTAGGAGGGGAAGACACGTTTCCATGAGAGAGTGTGGAAGGGGACTCCAGAGGGGAAATACAGGAAATACAGGAGAGAGAAAGACGGCTTCCATGAAGGGAGTGTTCATGGAAGGGGACCCAAACATGGAGTCCGAAGGGGTGTGGAAGAAGGGGACATTTAACCTAGGAGGAACCCCCACCTTCTCCAAGACCTCTGGCCAATGAAAGGAGTTCCTTGGAACTTCCTCTGGAATAATTGACTTTTGGTTCTTCCCATGCCCACGAAATTTAAACACAAACAAATCTTCCAGATGGAGAGTGATGGCGGGGGCATGGCACTGGGAAGTTCTAGCCCTTAAAACTACGCCCCCTTGTGGACCTGGAAAGGGAACACATTCTCTCAATATCGTTGGCCAAAATACATAATGTTGACAATCCAGAAAGAATTTAGATATGTGGCTAATACTGAGCCATTGCAATTTGACTTGTGTTACAAAATGTGAAATAGTCTCTGGGCATAATAATTAAGGAATTATTTATGAATTCATGGTATTCTCAAACCTTAGAAGAAATTTATTTTTAAGCTCTTTTGTCTTCCATTTGGTATATATATGGAAAAAAACAATGTATTGGTAGTATATCTTCGGTTTCATATTTTTTTCTAAGGATGAAAAATTGAGGAGTTATCTCATTATTATCAGGAATGCTCCTGGTTATCTTTGTAGATCGAGGACCTTATCTAAGCAACATTAACCTTAGATGTAACTTGAAACTCATAGATGCTTTGATGATTTCCATCAAGGATGATGGTTTGCATGAACATTAACAAATTCACCAATTTTCAAGTTTCTATTTTCTTACATAAATTATTAGCTCAGAAGAAGTAATGTCTCCTACCAGAATTTGAAATAAATTCTCTACTTAGTGATAAATCAAGTGAGTTTAACAGTTGGTTTAAACCAATAAAGTATAAACTATTTATTGGTTTATACTTTAGCCATTTATTGGTTTAAAACAATAAATGTACACTAATATTAATTAGTATACACTACCAGAAATCAATGTTAATATTAATATTGTTAAATATATTTCTGTAACTGAAATGTTAAAGATCTTTCACAGGAAACTAAAACTTTGTTTTGAAATATTTATTCTTTATTCTATTCATTTACATACACAATTAAATGATAGCAAGTTTTCTCAGAAGTCTTAATGTTTTTTCTGGATGCTATAAAAGTTGCCAAACCAGTCTTTGTCACCGAAGGAAGTTGTGTCAGTTTTAAGCTTTGTAAAACTAATATTTTATCATTGTTTAAATATCAGTACTTGAAGTCAGTTCACAAATCAGAGATTTTATTTATCCTCATTATTAAAGATTGCCATATGTATTCTTATTGCTATTTATTACAAGAAAAAAAATTATGCTCTTCAATCTGTGGTATAGATATTATTTAAATGTTTTAATTCAAATAACAATTTAGTTATTGTAATGTTACATGTAATCTTTCACTCAGTTCACATTTGAAAGCTGCCTAAATCCATTTTCACACAGGAAAGATAAAAAGTTACATGTAATTTTTCATCACAGGATTTTTTATCTTGCATTATAATTCAGTTATATTCATTACTCAAGGGCTCAAAAAGAGAAAATAGTAAGCATGGCTGGGGTGGCACAAAGACTTGTACTTTGAAGCTTACCTTGACAGTGTACCTGAGACCTCTTAAAAACGAAGAGGAACCTGCAAAATGTAAATTAATGCTTGAAATCTATAAAGAGTCAATATAAGAAAAAAAACAAAACAAAAAAATTGACCAGCCTCTAGAACAATGAATCACTGAAGAATACAAAATCAGGGCAGTAACAACATTTCAAGGTCATAATTTTTAGTGCTTTTCCAGATTCACTAAATATAAATTTTAAGAGTAATTCATGTGGGCAAAGCCATATCTGATATGATGGGATAGGGACTTTTACTAATTCGAAGTTATGTCACCATTCTACTGGATGAAACAACTTACCTTATTAAGAGTTTATATGACATAATGTCTACTTAGTTCAGCAATTATTTATTTGTTACTGTAGGCAAGGCTACTGAAATTGATGCACAACTGAAAAAGATATCTCCTTCCTCAATTAATTTAAAAAAGCAAGGAAGAATAAAACACCTTGTAAAGAAATGACTATATTTCAAAAACTATGTATGTACATATAAATATATTTCAAACTGTATATATATAGTTTTAGAAATATAGTGGTATACACAATGTGCACACACATATGTTTCGAAAGCTAGGTTCTTTACATACATTTTCTCATGTAATCATTGCAATCATGAGAAAGAGGTATTTCTTCTTCTATTACACGTATAAATAAGCTAAATTTCCGTGTAAGTGGCATGCCCAAAATCATATAGTTAGAAAGTAGAATCTAATTCTGTATGGCTTCAATGACCTCTTCACAACATCATTTTATACTATAATCTACAAGAAATGCCTTAAATGCTACACCAATAAAGTGCTACAATAATACAAAGATAGCAAACAGCACAAGATTGTAAATGAATGGTAAGATCAAGAAAGGTTTTCATAGAAGGGCTCTTCCACAAGGTACTTAAAAGAGAAGTAGGATTGGAGAACAGAATAGACACTCTTTCAGAAAGGGGTATTAGAGGAATAGAGATGAGAAATTAAAGAGAAAGTTTTGAGAATTGATTTTTTAAAAATCAATCAAACAAAAATCTCAGACAAAATATCAACCAAACAAAAGACCATTTCAGTAAATGTATAAACGGACTCCCTCACATGCATTTTGCCGTCCCCCATCTTTCTACATTGCAGCCAGGCTGATCTCGAAAAACACAAATCTGACATCTCACTATTCTGTTTGAAACCTTCCCGGACTGCATTAGCCTTTAGGGTAAAGTCCAATAAAAAGCTCACAAGCCTGCAGGATCAGGGCCTCTTTCCTTTGTCACTTCACATTTTCACCATAGGGACTCTACTTTAATTCCTTAACCACCACTCTCTTTTGGGCCTCAGGTTCTATTGAACACTGCCCCCTCTGCCAGAAATGTGTTTCTCTTCTTTCTGTGCACTTGTTCGAGCCTATTTTTCTCAGACTCTAAACTCCTTAAAGGCAGAGATCATATGTTTGTCTTACCTGCTGCATTTACCAGAACCGCTGACTCCGATCTTTATTTTTTCAACGAACATAGGGAACTATGCACTATGAAAGACCCTTTGGAAAGTGCCACTTATGGGCCCTAAAAGCCCTGGCATTTCCAGGTAACAATTCTTCCTTGTCTCAGGAAGAGATGGAATTAAAGGATTACTAACTCTTGTTCTCGAGCAAGATTTCTGGATTTCTAAGCCCCTTCCAAAATATGGGATGAAAAGCTCTAATAAAGGAAGAGACTACACCATATTATATTATATTTATGTCTCTGTGTTGAGAAATTTTGATTCTTTGGTAGAGAAAAATCCAAACCAGATGAAATAAGAATGTTGTGACTAAAGATTACTAAGAAACATTAATATCTGCCAAGAAGATATAATAAAAGGGGTCAGAACACTCCCTAGGAACAATTGCCCAGTTGAGCTGACAAAGGTTTGACAATCTAAAGGGCAATCCCATTGTCTCCCATCCCATAGCCAAGGTAGGGCACCCAGCTCTGGGGACCCTGTTGGTCCTATAATTACAGCACATCACCTTTCAAAAGGAGAAACACACAAATAATAGGTACACTGGAACAATTTTATATAAGAAATGATCATTAAAAAAAAAACCTTTGGTCCAATGTCTACCCTTAAATTTTTTGTGATTTTTTTTTTTTTGATGCATTGAAACAAAAAAGAATAAAAGTAGTCCTACCCAGAGATGGCAGGCAGCCCTAATTTGGATAAGCTACAGATTACCATGTGCTTAGCCTATAATAATCCTTTCATAAATATTTGTTGAATTAATAAATAGATTTATTAGCAGAGGTTATGTCAGCCTAACTGGGTATCTAACAAATGGCTTAGGCATAGTAACTTGTTAAATCCATAAATACATTGGGCCATATATAAATAAACTCTATATAAATACAGAGTTGTTATAAAAATGTTGGGCAATTTAAGGGTATTTTCAACTTGGTTAAATTTTTTCAAACTGACAAATTCTCACATCATAAACATGGATGCTCAGTATTATGGTTTCAATTTACTATTATTTTATAGCCTAAGAATTGAATTTTGCTTGGATAATTTGTTTTCTGAGTCTTGTTTTTGTGGGAGATAGAAGTGATGGGAAGGAGAAATGATCTATTGCAAAAAGCTCAGGATGTTTCTAAAAACAAGTGAGTGGCAGAGCTCTCAACTTTGCTTCATTGAACTCATATCTATACAGAAGAAGTGAGAGACACAATATAAAATTATAATGATTTACTCTATAGGATAAGGTCATTTATTTAATTTTTTTTCCTGGTTTTGAGAAGCCTCAAATCTCACCAAAAAATATATTTTTCATGAAAAGATGACTTGTTACTCCATAACATAAATAGAAAGATATTGTTTAGTTGTATCAGGTTACATCTGTAAGAGATCAAGGACTCTTTTATTAAAAGTATTAATAAAAATAATAAAAGCAACTGACATTCACAGATTGCTTATTATGTGCCATGTCTGTTCCAAGGGCTTTGTTTAGATTAATCCTCACCTTGACTCTGAGAAGCAGATATTTTTAACAAAAGTACAATCTCTTTTTACAGATGAAGAACCAAACACATAGGAAGTTTACGTAAGCTGCTCAAGGTTACCCAAGGTAGTGGCAGAGCTGGGGCCTGGTTTGGCTGATTCTATTGTACATGTTAATAACTCCATTGTATATCATAGAAATCCCTCCTTAACAAACAAGTATGGATCGAAAGTGTATTAATCACCTTCAATACTTCTTCTGCCAACTTATTTAGAAAACAAGTTTGAACTGACATTTAAAAGAAAAATAGGAAATGTCTTTTTTAGAGCATGTGAAGTGAGATATGAAAGGAGTAAACAATTCTTGGTCTCTGAAATGCAAATATTAATTTTCTGACAAGAGAAAGAGTCCACTTGATATTTTAGCAAGTCATTTCAGGTCAGGACATCAAGTTATTAGGATGAATCATATAAAATCGTTAGTGTTATAGGTCAAAACAGGTCAAATATTGATAATTTCAAATGATTCAACCTAGTGGCTCTCTATCCCTGGTAACAGTAAATAATACAAATTAAAAATTCTATATGTAAACTCAGAATTGTTTAGGGTTCAGCAAAGGGAAAGAAAAATCAGAAGATACGTATCCTATATTCGAAGAACATAGAATAAAATCATACTAAAAACAACCAGGGTTAAAGTAACATGCCAGATATTTCATTGTTAAATCATCATGGAGCTATAGATGGAGAGATCTACAGAAATTTGAATAAGCACTTGGATGTGAGCTTTGAGAAAAAGAATTGACAGAGAAGAGCCATGAAGCTCTTCTAGGCAGAAGGGAACAGCATGATAAAGAGCAAACACAACCAGGGGTTGTCATAAAGCACAAAATATTAGAGGGCAGAAGAAGAACTGGTTGGACCCTTCACATGGGTCATTGGGTCCGTGTGATCCCCAAACAGGACGGGTTAGATGGGTAAGAGAGAAGATCTGAAAGTGGGAGGAGACACCTGGACTTGATTCTGCCAGAAATCATACTAGGTATTTCCAGGAGGATTGTGTTGGTAAGGTCACATGCTCTGGGAAGACTGAATGAGCAACAGGCACAGTGCAAGAGACTTGGAGCAGAACAATTGATTAAAGACTCGTTACATGGTCCAGGGCCAAAAGTGTGGATCTGCATCATGGTGCTCCAAAAAGAGAGTAACATTTTGAATTTGACATGTTGAACTAGAGACACAATTTGAAGGAATAAGTAACAGGATTTGATTTGTGATTTGACTTATTTGTGGAACAGAAAAATGACTCTAGAATATTGACCCTAAGTGATTTTTTAAATGGGGTTTTATTGTTTTAAATATAAAATGGAAAAGTATACAAGGTTGGGGAGATCATTTATTCTAATAAACACATACAGTAATAATAGCTTATTTGCTGCTGACTATCTCAGATAGTGAGTACTAAACAATGCACATATACTCATATTTTTTTTTTCACAATTTCTTAAACAATATTGAAAGACAAGTATTAATCAGGTATTAATATTTAAATTTTATAAGTAATAAAATAGAGGCCAGAGAGGTAAATAATTTTCCCAAAGTCACTTAGTACTGAATTTTGTTTTTTTGAGACGTTGTCTTACTCTGTTGCCCAGGCTATAGTGCAGTGCCACGATCTCAGCTCATGGTATCCTCCGCCACCCAGGTCTCAGCCTCCTGAGCAACTGGGACTACAGGCGCGTGCCACCACACCTGGCTAATTTTTTTAAATATTTTTAGTGTAGACGGGGTTTCACCATGTTGGCCAGGATAGTCTCAATCTCCTGACCTAGTGATCCACCCGCCTTGGCCTCCCAAAGTGCTGGGATTACAGGCATGAGCCACCGCATGCGGCCAGCACTAATCATTTATGACTCCCCAAAGCCTTTGCAGTTTTACCTATTTTACCCACGTGGAATTTGAAATAACAGCTGAACCTTCATGTGACTATCTCAAAGAGAGCATAAAATAGAGGACTAGAGTTAGAATGAGAGACTGAATCTTTGGGTTTGGAAGTCATTAGGATTAGCTGAACTTTGAAAGTAGGTCAGCACTTCAGGGTTGAGGAACATGGAAGGAAAAAAAGGGAACACAACTAAAATCCTGGAAGTTATCTTAGAATAAAGGACAGAAAGTAGAAAGGGGCAGGTTAAGAATAAGACAGAGCCAGAGAGACAAAGTGTTGGAGAAGAAAGTGCTAAGGTGTATAAGTCATTTATTTAACAAGTATGTCCCCAGCTAAGGAGTAAGTGAGCTGATATCTGAAAGGTCCATTGGAAGTTCAACAAGTGTAAAGGGTTCTGGCCAAAGGGAACTATTTAAGCAAAACACAAACACACTCAAAAGGCGAGCGTCAAGAGGGAGCAGAGATTGGGGATAATAGGTAATGGGGGGCTTAGACTACAAAAGGCAGTTTCTGCAAATATTTTGCCAGATTAGGGTCCCAGTAGTTACCACTTTTTCTGGATCAAGTACTTTTCTGTTCTGGAGCATGAACTGCCTAGCCTCTCAGTTTTTTTTCTAGGTTTTTGGTTATCTCAGGCAGCTCAGACTGCCGTAACAAAATACCATAGGCTGGGTAGCTTTAACAGCAGGCATTGATTACTCACAGCTCTGGAGACTGGAAAGCACAAGTTCAAGGTGCCATTCAATTTGGTCTCTGGTCATGGCTGTCTTTCTGACTTGCAGACAGCTGTCTTTTTGCTGTGTCCGAAGGGAAAGAGAGAGAGAGACAGTCAGACAGACAGAGATGGAGTGCACAAGCATAAGTCTCTTCTTATAATGTCACCAATCCCATCACAGGGACTCCATCCTTATGACCCCATCTAATCCTAATCACCTCCCAAAGGCCCTATCTCCAAATACCATCAAATTTGGAGTTAGGACTTCAACGTATGAATTTGGTTGGGAAGCGGGGAAGTCACAAACATTCCGTCAATAACAAGGGTCATGGAGGCAGCTTCTATTTGTGCCTCACTATAAGAAGGTTGCTGCACTGGTGTTCCATTGGCCTTCCCCAGAGTTTCCTTTAATAGTAAAAAAAGACCTATGACTGAAAACTTCTATAATTTTTAAAATATAAAAATTGCTAAATGTGATTTTTGCAAATTAGATTGCCACACTAGAATATAAATTATAACATCAATAGAGAATTTTGGCATACCATGCCTGACATAATGTACCTCCAAAGGTACTGAAATGATGAAAATTAGTGGGAATTTTAGGAAATGCTGAAGGAAACTGATTTCTCAACAATTTTTGACTTTAACACTGGTTCTTTCTCTACATTCTGTAGTTCTAAAATGTAGTAGAACAACAGCAGGACACAAGTCTTTGCCCCATGGAAAAACCCCATAGCCTGTTTTAATTCCATTGTCATAAAATAGGGAAAAGAGCAAGTTGGGAATGTTGCTTAAGAGAGAACTGCACCCCTACATCAGCATGCTGGGCAATTTCCCCATTGTTACCTGTATTTTCATAAACAGCACATTTTAAAAAGTCATATTTGCCACAGCAAATGAATTCAGGATACATTCTGTTTCCTTTGTTTGGAAATGTCTTCGTCTCCTAGCAACATTATAGGGAAATCCATCAGGGGCATGAAATTAAACGGCTACGTAGGCAGAATACCTGTAGAGTGTTCAGTTCTATGAAAAGCTTTCACTAGAAATTATATACATATTGTGCAAAATGCTACAGTAACATAAGTTTAAGGTAGGAATTGTTCAACTCCCCCATAAGCAATTTAGAGTTCCAGCAGTACCAGTAGCCAAGGGTCCACAATGCACAGGAAAAAAAAAAAAAGAGAAAGAAAAAAAGACACTCTACAAAATGGCAGTTAGGTTAATTACTTATGACTGTGGAGACTTTCCTCCACACAAAAAAATAAAAATAAAAAAGATTTCAGGGCATCCTAACCCAGGCTCTTCTTTTGTTAAAGCCTTCTCTCAACTTTGGGTGTAGAAGGAACTAAAACATTTTCTCCTGTAAACATACAAACAAATAAATAAATTAAAAATACAAAATTCAAGAAGCAAGGCTACAAAGCCCTGCCCTTTTGTAGCTGCTGGCTGGAGCTGCAAATCGAATCCGAGCCTGTGCCCGTCTGCTCCCAATTGCCTAGTTTCTCATAGGGTATCTGAGAGACAGCTGCAGGCAGACTTGTAGGCTGCCCATGATTCAGAGTCCTAGGGAAGTGGATCCTAGAATCTGCATGTAACCAATCTGCCCTTGCATTCTGGAGAGCTACTGCTTCCTGTTATAGAAAGTGCTCAAACTCCTGTGAGTTTGGGCCTGAGAAATAGGCTGCCTAACCACCTTACCACAAGGCACAGAAACATCTTTGTCATACCCTACCCACAAAAGGCCCAACTGAAGGAACATTCCTATCAAATCTTGCTAGGCAAAGGTACAAGGAACATCCTATCACATCCCACTGATAAAAGGGCCAAGCCATCTGATCATCGGAACATCTTATCAATATCCTGCCAGACAGCAAGCCATACTGCCCAGACCCCCCCACCCATAACTGTAAACACCCCAGCCTGTAAGCAGTGGTGGTCTATGGCATTAAGCTGGTCCCCTACCTCTGTGGGTTTATGCTGGACATAAATGCCTACATTTGCCATTGAGCCACCACTCTCTCTCTCTCTCTTTTTCTTTAACCCTTGTCTTCCCTTCAAAACCTATCAAATGTGACACACCAAAATATCCCTTTAAATAACAAGTTTCTTCTCAATTTATTTACATATATAGTTTTACTCATTTTCTCTTCCTCTTTCCTTTCAACTAATTTCATGCAATACCAAACATGTATTGTTTACTGTGTATCCATAATAGAATTGCTATCAAGACCAGTTGTTTAAAACTTTAAGCAAAATTTAGGTATTGAAAGACTTTTTATTTTGGATTTTAATTATTCTAATAAAAGTTAATTGCTTTATATTATGCATGTTTATTTACAGCTTGATTGTAAAAGGTTTTGAGAGCCATCAAAGACATACAATAGAAGAATTAAAAAAAGAATGTTTAAATTATTTTGACAATATTGGAAAAGTATGAAGTACTTTGGGACAGAGGAGACTATATCTCTCTTTTCCCTCTTAGTTTCTCTGCACCCCACACCTGTTTTTCTCCTGGATAAAGGATGAGGAATAGGAAATGGCCAAAAAAAAAAAAAAAAAAATGACCTTGCCAGGATAGTACTACTCAATCTTTTATATGTTTAGTGAGACTAGGATTAGTTTTCTGATTAAAGTACTTGCTAGTCCAAGTAGAGAATCTAAAATCTGATTTAATTTTGTCAAAATCAAGATGCCAAGCTTGCCCCATTCTTGGATGGGGAGAGGAGAAAAGAGGACCTACAGTAGAGAGCTACGTAAGGGGCCTGGTACAAACTCAATGGTAGTCTAGAGCTGGAGGATGCATCTCCTTTGAGATTCACCATCAAGACTTCTAGGCAGAGGGTGTCTTATCCATTGAGCTGCTGTAACAAAATGCCATAAGCCAGGTAGCTTATAAATAACAAAAGCTTATTTCTTACAGTTCTGAGGGCTGGGAAGTCTGATGCCAAGGCGCCAACAGATTTGGAGTCTGGTGAGTGTTTTTTCTTGTTCCCAGATGGCAGCTTCTTGCTGTGTTTTCACATGGCAGGAAGGACAAGGCAGCTTTCTGGAGCCTCTTTTATAAAGGCACCAATTCCATTCACAAGGGCTCTACCTCGTGACCTAATCACCTCCCGATGGTCTCATTTTTTAGCACTATCACACTGGTGATTAGGTTTCATTATGTGAATGTGAAGATGGGGAGTGGCCCAAATATTTACACCATAGCAGAGAGATTCCAGAGTTAGCTTATGTATTTGTCATTTCTGTTTCCCATATTTTTGCTCCCTTTCTGTTAGGGTCACCTTTGAGAAAGTATTCCCTCTCCCTACTCTTTGGCAGTCAGAGCTTAGGCATATGAATCCCAACTCGGAGATACCAAGGTGCTAAGTCAGAGAAATCCTTTCAAGCAGTTGTGATGGAGTGAAGACTCTAATAGCATTCAGAGTGATAAGTAGTTAGTGATACAGAGTGATGTTACTAGCAGCAGTGTCCTAAGCAGATAGTCTCTGTAAACAGATTTTACCAGTGCTTTGAGTCCTTGGGTTATGATTCAAGCTTCTTTCTTTATCCTTCTCATAACTTTTGTGATCTGACAGCTTCCAACAAATTCTTTTTCTGTTTATATAAATCTGAGTCACTTTCTGATTTTATGAATGCAAACTTTTACTAGTATGGTTAGAAGCTGGGTCACAAATAATGGGGGCTATATCAATTATAATAGAAAAAATCCTCAACTTTGGAAGAAAATATTGGTAGGGATGAGTTCTCTAGCTTAGATCCTGGACCTGTGGGTAAACATGAATCACTACAGGGAGAGAAAGTTAGATAGTAGCTCAACTATTAATAGATACCTAGACAGGTTAAATCTATTCCTGAGGTGCCACCAAAACTAGGGGCAAGCTATTTTCAGAACCTACTTGATCTAGGCTAGAAGGACTTCTATCTTATTAATTAATTAACTCAATCGGTCACTACCGAAGACCTGATGTGAGCCAGCACCATTTGTTAAGCACAAAAATGGAGGGATGGTAAACAAGATAAACATGGTGCCTATCCTAGGGAAAATTACCGATGAGCAAGACAGACAAATAGTTTACTGTATAGTTGATCGTCATCACTCAGGTCCTATATTCATGAATTCACCTGCTTGCTAAATGTATTTGTAACTCTCAAATCAATACCTGCTGCTTTCATGGTCACTGCTAGACAGGCCCAAATCTGCCAAAAATGGGAGTCATCCAATGCACAAGCTCCCAGCTGAAGTTGAACAAGAGGATGCTATGCCTTCTTGTGCGCTTTCTTGTTTAGCAGAGATGACCAGAGGATGGAGACAGTAGGGAAGAGTGCAGTGTAGGGCAGTTCAGGAAGCTCTGGCTTGGGAACCAGTCGTAGTGGACTTGAATCTCATCTCTGGCATCATTAGTAAGGTAGCCCTTTTCCCCTTGGAGTAATATTCATGGTTTGATAGTTCAGTGTTTGGGGCCTAACTATGGCGAATAATGTGAACTGAATGTTATATATGTCAATAAAGTGACATATTATGGTGGGAGTACACAGAAACTGTTATGTTTGGGTATTATGGTGGGAGTAACACAGGAAAACATAATTTAACCAAGAGATCAAGAAAGGTCATCAAAAGGCACATCAAATTTAATATGTCATCACATTAAACTAATACCTGAAGCATGAGTAGGATTTATGGCAGTAAAGTTGTGGAAACAGTCTAGACAATGGTGCTACAGCCTGGCTAAACCTGAGCATAGTGTGAAGAAAACAAAGGGGAAAGTGCAGCTTGACAGGCAACAGGAAGTTAGTTCATTCACACCACGTAGGCCATTTAGGGAAATTTGAGCTTTTCCCTATGAACAATGAGAAGCTATTAATGGCATAAAGCTAAGGTTTGGCCAGGTTTCTTCAGCTGTTATTCCCTTGTTTTCCAACATCAATTTAGGCATATAAGACAGGCAGGAATCAGGATAAATTAATACTCCTTGTGAATTTTGTGCTAAAATTGGTATTAAAAGCACATCGAAGATAGATCTATATAGTTTCTGACTCATGTTTGGAAGCCTTTTCCTAAAGAAAATCAAAAGAATTGCTGACTAAATGTCTCTAGAATGAAAAGTAAGATCTCCTTAAGTTAGCAAATTACTTAAAAAATAAAAGAGCAATTAATTAATTCCTTGATATATTAACCAATTTATTAAATACAATTTAATAAATATGTATATTTTTGTTTGTTTGTTTGTTGAGACAGAGTCTCGCTCTGTCACCAGGTGCCAGGCTGGAGTGCAGTGGCACGATCTCAGCTCACTGCAACCTCTGCCTGCCGGGTTGAAGCAATTCTCCTGCCTCAGCCTCCTGAGTAGCTGGGACTACAGGCACACACTACCATGCCCAGCTAATTTTTTTTTGTACTTTTAGTAGAGACAGGGTTTCACCATGTTGGCCAGGATGGTCTCAATCTCTTGACCTTATGATTCACCTGCCTTGGACTCCCAAAGTGCTGGGATTACAGGCATGAGTCACCTTACCTGGCCAATATTTTTAAATTATTTAATTATTATTAATTTTAAATGTTTTTAACTATAATTTTAAATAGCTTAAAAATAATAGTTAAAACACTTAAAATTAATAATTTAATAATTAATTAATAATAGCAATTAAAATAATATAAAATAAGTGGCTTATTAATAAATTAGTAATTTATTAATGAATTCATACTAAAAACTATTTTTAGCTATTATTTATAAAACTTAATTTACATTCAATAAAATTTCCATTTTAGTAGACAGTTTGATGAAACTCACCACGATCAAGACGGAGAACATCTTTATCACCCAAACAATCCCTAGCGGAACTCTACTGTCACGCTCTATCCCTTCAGGCTTTCTGGAACTATAGGTTTGCTTTGTTTAGAACTTCATACAAATGAAATTAGTATGTATATAGTATGCTGGCTTTTGTGCCTGTCTTATTTCAGTTACCATGAGCCTTTGAGACTCTGTTCAGTAATTTCCAATCTTTTTTCTCTTTGTACTTCATTTTGGATAATTCCTATTGTTATGTTTTGAAGTTTACTAATCTTTCTTTCTATAAATTTGAATATTATTTTAATACTATTTAGTATAATTTTTACTCTTTTAATCTGTAAGATTTCTATTTTTAATTTTAATATCTTATAATTCTATAATTATAATTTTTAAGCTTTCTT